TGATGGAGGGTGAGGGAATGAGAGCACAATGTGGAGGAGAGAGAAGAGCAGGGAGAAGAAGTAGGACATGGGAGAGGATAATAAGTGTCTATTTCTTTGTTCCATCTCTCCTAAACTCATTTCATTATTTCGTGGATTTAGACGTTGTTCCATTTTTAGGGAATCACAAATACCTTAGATCTATAGCTTAATTTTGATTAATTTTACGTTAATCTTTTATGAGCTGACCTTCTCACTCGAGTGGAGGATGTACTGTATTTCTGTAAAATATCTCACTGACACCTCGACCGGTCTTTGCTTAGATTTGCTTCATATTTTCCTTAATATTGTATGGTTTTTTTATTGTGATATTGCTAAAATGTCCAGAAAGATACAAAATTAGACACATTACAACACCTACCGTAAAGAAAGATGATTTGATATTTGCCATTTTAGTTAACTAGAGATCAGAAGTTAAGAGAATATTTGCAAAACTCTGCATTTCACTTCTCATTTCATTTTATTTTGTGAGAGAGCGTCCCTGAAAACCCTTTTATCAGATACAGACAGATTATTTTTTTCTTCTCGCTGAAGAAGTTGCAGGACATAAATAAGAAGGTTTACCGGACATATTTCATGACCTCTTTATAAATCTCTCCTCCTACGGTACCGCACTGATGTTTTGAATGAGCAATGGCCTGACTGGTCTCTCATATGTCCGGCCAGTAATTACGTGATACACCATGAAAATTTCAGTGATTTCATGTAATTCTTGTTTCACTCAGGAGCTTCACGAAATTACCGAAATGTTGTCATTATATTTAGACCATCATACTTGAATGGGTTTAGACCGAGATCCCACAATGATTTATACAGATACGCGAGGCCAACAGAAGAAAAATATGTTAATTCTGACATTCTTACGTTAAAATATCCCTTGTCATTGTATCATATATAAAAATGTTAAAAAATCCACTGTTTTGTGTATTAAACCCCAGCCACACACCCTCGAGTGAATGAGTACCAGGACCCCAGCCACACACCCTCGAGTGAATGATACCAGGACCCCAGCCACACACCCTCGAGTGAATGATACAACAGCCACACCCGGAATCGACCCCACACACCTCAGTGGTGTACCAGACAACCACACAGCCTGTGATGATACAGACCCCAGCACACCCAGTGAAGCCCAGCCACACACCTCAGTGGATGATACCAGGACCCCAGCCACACACCTGAGTGAATGAGTACCAGGACCCCAGCCACACACCTCGAGGACGATACCAGGACTCAGCACACACCCTCGAGTGGATGATACCAGGACCCAGCCACACACCCTCGAGTGGATGATACCAGGACCCCAGCCACACACCCTCGAGTGGATGATACCAGCACTTAGCACCCTCGAGTGGATGATACCAGGACCCCAGCCACACACCCTCAGTGGATGATACCAACACACCCTCGAGTGGATGAGTACCAGGACCCCAGCCACACACCCTCGAGTGGATGATACCAGACCCCTAGCCACACACCCTCGAGTGGATGATACCAGGACCCAGCCACACACCCCCGAGTGGATGATACCAGGACCCCAGCCACACACCTCGATGATACCAGGACCACACACCCTCAGTGGATGATACAGGACTCCACACACCTCGAGTGGATGATACCAGGACCCAGCCACACCCCTCGAGTGGATGATACCAGACCCCAGCCACACACCGAGTGGATGATGAACCAGGACCCCAGCCACACAACCTCGAGTGATGAGTACCAGGACCCCAGCCACCTCAGTGAATGAGACACACCCTCAGTGATGATACCAGGACCCAGCCACACCCTCGAGTGGATGAGTACCAGGACCCCAGCCACACACCCTCGAGTGGATGATACCAGCACCCCAGCCACCCCTTGGATGGTACCGACCCAGCCACACACCCTCAGTGATGATACGGACCTATTAGTGAATGAGTACCAGGACCCCAGCCACACACCCTCGAGTGGATGATACCAGACCCAAGCCACACACCCTCGAGTGGATGATACCAGGACCCCAGCCACACACCCTCGAGTGGATGATACCAGGACCCAGCCACACACCCTCGAGTGGATGATACCAGGACCCCAGTTACACCCTCAGTATGATACCAGGACCCGCACACCCTCGAGTGGATGAACCAGCCACACCTCGAGTGATGATACAGGACCCAGCCACACACCCTCGAGTGATGATACCAGGACCCCAGCCACACACCCTCGAGTGGATGATACCAGGACCCAGCTACACACCCCTGAGTGGATGATACCAGGACCCCAGCCACACACCCTCGAGTGGATGATACCAGGACCCCAGCCACACACCCTCGAGTGGATGATACAAAATTTACACATTTTACTTCATCTTGGTGGCGTAAATAGTCATTTAGACATGGCTTCTTATCATTGAAATTAATCATGTTTAACAGTAAACATTGGACACTTTAATAATATCCTTGTATATTATTGCCGCAGATATAAGTTTAAAGTCACCCTTTCTCCCATAAATCATCAGAGAAAATGTGTAGAAACTGATTTTGCAGAAACACATCACACTTGACACCGTTGTCTATGAAAATGAATCCCGTAGGCCTGAAGGACCGTGACGGCTAGTAGGTATACGGTACAGCTTAAACTAACCTGTTTTGGGCAAAGGGGCAGTTTAGCCGGCACTGCACTCAGTCACAGCTGGGTGAACTAGGGGTGCCCCGAGGGTGAACCAATGACCTATTCAAAAACTTCAAGAGACTTTTTCTCTCCAGAAACCTATTTAATGTAAGTGTCCCATGAGTGATTACTATAGTTTTCCACCAGCACTTTTATATGTTTTCTGCTCATAGAAGGAAAACAAAAGCGACAGATTCAAGAGGATGCAGCCATGTGCATTCAAATTCCAGAAAAAAAAATCAATTTAAGTTTTCTTTGGATGTGGCCCTGAAAACTGAAAAGCTTATGATGAACAAGACAACGTTAGAGCAATTGTGCCTGCCAGGGAACACTATATTTTAACACGAAATATTTGTTTTAAAATCAAAACATGACATTAAAGTACAAATATTGTGTTTCCTTCAAATAACTACCAGCGCATGAGAGAGGAACTAAGGGACGCCTTCCGTCACCGCGAAGGATTATCAAGATCTGATTGGATCCAGATTCAATCTCGTATTGCGAAAAGTACAATATGGCCCGATCTTTGGTAATCACAACAAACACTGGAAAACTTGAGGTTCTAAAAGGATGAATGACGCTGGAATGGAAAATTACATAAAAATCATGACATGATTTTTATGTCATTATTATTTCATGTCATTATTGTAATAACGACGTAAAAGAATTTAAAGTTACAGAAGAAGTTTGAGTTAATAATATACTCAAGTCACTATCTAAAAAATCACCTGATCAAGGAAGCTTCCCAGAGTGACTTTATACAGTAAACGTGATCCCGATCTTCAACATGGAAGGTTACGGCGACTTAATGGAGACGCAAGACTCACGACGAGTAAGTACAATAACAATGATAACTGATATATAAAACTCACTTGGACATACCTGGAGTGTGACGTGTTGTGGTGTGTTACGGTCCCTCGAGGAGCTGTTAACTTTCACTTACCTGGAAAAAAGAATAAAAACAATCTGATTAACCTTCCATCCCACTTTACTCCTATAAAAATTTTCGTAAATGTTAATGATCTCAAGGATATGTTTGTTTAAAGTAAAAATATTTATTAGGTGGAAGAGGACTAAATAATGACTATGAACCTACAGTAGTGCCCGAGAAGTGTCCTTACCTGTCCTTAAACATTAAACAATATTTAAAGCGTTGTAAGCTATTTATATTCGTACCTTGTATTTCTACACCCGAGATTATTATTGTCTTTAACTAACTGTAAATATATGAAACATTAGAAAAAGTTTTACCATTTGTCATAATATTTACAGGTATCGAACGCCGCTAGCCACCTGCCATCAGATGTCCATAACGGAATTTTCTCTGTCCTTTAAAGTTGACAAGTTCTTGGCAACTAAACATGATTCAAAGACACGCGGGGGACGACACCCCCCTTGTCCATCACGATCTTTAAAGCTGTCAACGACTGAAGGCGCTCAAAGGCGTCAGCTCACTAAAAAAAAATCTTAGATAAACACGGATTTGTCTTCCGTGACTTGTAATTAATCCAGATCAGATTTTTGAGATCTTTGCATTTGTAGAGAGTAAGTCTTGAGGTTTATTTATAATACCATTTAATCAACCCATATGTAAACACTACCGATGAGAGAGAATGGCAAGTCTCTAAATCTGCATCGTGGAACTACAACGAGGTATATAAGAGGGGCGAGGCTCGCTCCAACCCCTTAGTGTACTTCTGGCTCAGGATACCTCCAGCTTGTGTATGTAGTCATACCGTTATCCGCGTGAAGCACAACTAATAATACAACTTATATCACTTAGTGTGATATAATTTAATTACTTTTCTTGGTGTTTTCTTTTGAAATCCAACTTAAATAAGCAAAGTAAGTTTCACTTAGTCACTTTCTAATTCCCATCTTAAAACTTAGGAGATACACAATGCATGCACTAATTATTTACAGAATTTCCTATCATTCTAGATCATCACCATGTGTGACGACGAAGCAACAGCTTTGGTTGTGGACAATGGCTCCGGCATGGTCAAGGCTGGCTTCGCCGGCGATGACGCTCCCCGCGCCGTATTTCCCTCCATCGTCGGCCGTCCTCGTCACCAGGGTGTGATGGTCGGTATGGGTCAGAAGGACGCCTACGTCGGTGACGAGGCCCAGAGCAAGCGGGTATCCTGACTCTCAAGTACCCCATCGAGCACGGCATCATCACCAACTGGGACGACATGGAGAAGATCTGGCATCACTCATTCTACAACGAACTGCGTGTGCCCCTGAGGAGTCCCGTCCTCCTCACTGGGGCTCCCCTCAACCCAAGGCCAACCGTGAGAAGATGACCCAGATCATGTTCGAGACCTTCAACACCCCAGCCATGTACGTGGCCATCCAGGCCGTGCTGTCCCTGTACGCCTCTGGTCGTACCACTGGTATCGTGACGGACTCTGGTGACGGGCACCACATCCCCATCTACGAAGGTTATTGTCTCCCCCACGCTATCCTTCGCGTTGACCTGGCTGGTCGTGACTTGACTGCCTACCTGATGAAGATCATGACTGAGCGTGGCTACTCCTTCACCACCACAGCTGAGCGAGAAATCGTTCGTGACATCAAGGAAAAACTCTGTTATGTCGCTCTTGATTTCGAAAGCGAAATGAATGTAGCTGCTGCCTCAGCATCACTCGAAAAGGCCTACGAACTTCCCGACGGTCAGGTCATCACTATTGGCAATGAACGTTTCCGCTGCCCCGAGTCTATGTTCCAGCCTTCCTTCCTGGGTATGGAATCTGTTGGTGTTCACGAGACCGTCTACAACTCCATCATGAGGTGCGACATTGATATCAGGAAGGACCTGTTCGCCAACAACGTCATGTCTGGAGGTACCACCATGTACCCTGGTATTGCTGACCGCATGCAGAAGGAAATCACTGCTCTGGCTCCCTCCACCATCAAGATCAAGATCATTGCTCCTCCCGAGCGTAAGTACTCCGTCTGGATCGGTGGCTCCATCTGGCCTCTGTCCACCTTCCAGGCCATGTGGATCCTGGGAGGGGTACGACGAGTCCAGCGGCATTGTCCACCACTGAGTGCTTCTAGGATTATTACACTCATTGAGTTTGACTTGGTTCTAATGTGAATATATCCTAATGTCCCTGACACCATGTAATATGTTGTATTCCAGATTATATTTAATGTTATATAATAATTTTCATGAGATAAACATATAGTATTTATTAGGTACTTGGCTCCACCATATTTATGTTGTTATTGTTGTTGTTATTGTTGTTCACTTTGTATCTGTATTTTCCTGGCGAAATAAACCATTTCAATTCCACATATTTATAGCACGTTAATTCATAATATCAACGTCCACTTAACAGACAGATTTTCTTCTTTCACTTCTAATGAAAATTTTTACTCTAGTGCACACTCCTGTGCCTTTATTATTGAAGAACAGTAATACATTATGACATGAAAGCCCTATATATAAGGATGAGGGAATAATAACAGAAATATTAATGGGCAAATTTGAGGGCAGGAGGGCCAGGGGAAGGCAGAGACTGGGATGGATGAAAGAAATGAAAAAATGCGTCCCAAGATACAAATCTATAGGATTGGTAAAACAGCTCGAGAACGTTTAGAGTGGAGGACTGTGATCGCCAACCTTTAGATATGAGGAATGCGTCATGATTGATTGAACATAGAATAAAGAATTCAAATTAAGAAAATATTAAAGTAAACTTTCAAGCGGGATATGTTGACACACGCCATCGGATGACCGTGATGGTATCTTGTGCGTCTTTTCAAGTCGACAAGTTCTTGACAGCTAAATATGATTCAAAGAAACACAGTGACGACCACCTGTCCGCTTGTCTATCATGACCCTTATATGTTGTTTGTAGCCTGAGGGTGACCACAGTGTTAAAACATAACAAAACCTTACACAAACACAGCGCTAAAATCTTACGTGATCGATACTGATCAAACATGATCATTTTTTTTAACTAAATGTGTAGAGGATGAGTCTTAGGAGTTATTTATGTGATCAATTAGCCAACTCAGCCTAGCATACCTCTGCTGAGAAAGAATTAGAGGAGTTTTAGTTCGTATCACTAAAGGGAGGAGGTATATAAGAGGGGTGAAGCTCAGTCCAGCCTTAGTGTACTTCTGACTCAGGATACCTCCAGCTTGTGTACGTGGCTGTGTGGTGACTCTGTGAACTAACTTGTGACTTTACAGTAACTGGGAAGTGTAGTTCATGTGTAGCGCATTTATACATCATAGATATATTTGTTATAACGATATTCACTTGAGGAAAATTAGTATTATACCATGCACGGGTTATACTCAACTTACAATTACTTATAAATATTTTCCATGAACAAACCGGATCCACTAAAAACTGAATTAAAGAGAAATCTCAAAATAAGATAAATATTCGCGTTAATCAAGTTTGTAACAACTTATGTTTCTGGTGGACATTAATATTACGACCACTACTGTTATCACATTTTTATACTTCACACTGTAATAATGTATAACTTACTCTCTTTTAGCGGGTTAAGTGGTCAAAGTAGTTAATTTATCCCCAGGAAATAGATTGCCTTTACTCTTTTATAGGAATGTTACTCAGTTTGATAGGAAACTCCAACTTCGTTTAGTATTGAGAATCTGCTTCACTACAGTATATACTTCTTGTCGCTAATCTCATGTAGTTACTCCTACAGGATGACGTAATATAGGGATCTTACTCATGAGATAATTAAGAAAATCATAAACTTGAGGACATCTTAATAACCACACTGTGTCACCAACAATTAATGACTACAGCGAAGTAATTACCAGTTGATAGTTTGCAGATTCAAGATATTTCATCATAAGTTTTCAGTACCGAAATTTATCGATCGGTCCTAATTACCCTGAATGATATGGTCATAATATAATTACCACATTACCGAATACTGATTCACCTTTAAGCTTTGAGTCTTTTTGGAAGCCCTGACACTATAAAGGGATTAATGTACACTTGTTTTTCATAACCGGCTCGCAGAACTCTGACTCCACCATCGGGAAGTATTTTTTAATCTATAAAACAAAAACACAAGGGCCAATAAGACTTTAATTTATTCTACATCTGTTGAGACAAAATACAAACATTAATCATCCAGTTACATGTATATTTCTACTCATGATAAAGATAAGTCGTCACCTTTCTTTATTCAATTGAAGCATTCAGGCGAGGATTCTTACCAACGAACACATCGCATTTTTTTTCCACAGGCAATTTTATAATAGAAACATTGCACTATTTCAGTCAAACTAATCCTGGCATGAGCTTAGTGAAGTTGTTAATGTAGTTTTTGCAGTAAGTACACTTTAACTTCCATGAACATTTTCACTGTTGCTATTTTAAATTTTCGACATCTGTGTTATAATATATGTTACGTTAAGTTTGGTTACAGTAGGTTAATTAAGCAAGATTTAGTTGTGTTTAATTTGCGTTTAGTACTGCGATTCATTTACTTATCTTCTATACTATAGATAAGGATATAACTATTTCGAATACTTCGCAGTAATATCTGACAGCAGTAGCGGGCCAGTGGGCTCAACACACCATAACAAGATTATTACATATTCATTTATAACTAACTTCGACAGACAGAGCTATTTCTGATCCTCATTTAAGCTTTATGTTTATACAAATTGTCTCCACAGAATCTGTAACATCATTAATAACCAATGTACAGGAGGAACAGACAAATCCTGCAACAATCTTTTAAAATAAAATATCAACTGTTATATCCCATTACAAGATAAATTGGGTAATGGATAGCTCATGCATTACTAGAAATATATAAACAACATTTCAGAGAATAAAGAGCTCAAGAATATATTACTACCTTCATTATTTTCACAGGCATTCTACACCACCATCATGTGTGACGACGAAGCTAATGCCCTGGTTGTGGACAATGGCTCCGGCATGGTGAAGGCTGGCTTCGCCGGCGACGACGCTCCCCGTACCGTATTCCCCTCCATCGTCGGCCGTCCTCGTCACCAGGGTGTGATGGTCGGTATGGGTCAGAAGGACGCCTACGTCGGTGATGAGGCCCAGAGCAAGCGAGGTATCCTGACTCTCAAGTACCCCATCGAACATGGCATCATCACCAACTGGACATGGAGAAGATTTGGCATCACACCTTCTACAACGAACTGCGAGTTGCCCTGAGGTCCCCGTCCTCCTCACTGAGGCTCCCTCAACCCCAAGGCCAACCGTGAGAAGATGAATCATGTTTGAAACTTTCAGCGGTCCTGCCATGTACGTGGCATCCAGGCCGTGCTGCTGTCCCTGTACGCCTCTGGTCGTACCACAGGTATCGTAACGGACTCTGGTGACGGTGTCACCCACACCGTCCCCATCTACGAAGGTTATTGTCTCCCCGCATATCCTTCGTGTTGACCTGGCTGGCCGTGACTTGACTGCCTACCTGATGAAGATCATGACTGAGCGTGGTTATTCCTTCACCACCACTGCTGAGCGAGAAATCGTTCGTGACATCAAGGAGAAACTCTGTTATGTCGCACTCGACTTCGAAACAGAGATGAGTGTTGCTGCTGCTTCAACATCCCTCGAAAAGTCCTACGAACTTCCCGACGGTCAGGTCATCACCATCGGCAACGAACGTTTCCGTTTTGAGTCTATGTTCCAGCCTTCCTTCCTGGGTATGGAATCTGTTGGTCTCCACGAGACCGTCTACAACTCCATCATGAGGTGCGACATTGATATCAGGAAGGACCTGTTCGCCAACAACGTCATGTCTGGTACCACCATGTACCCTGGTATTGCTGACCGCATGCAGAAAGAACTAACTGCTCTGGCTCCCTCCACTATCAAGATCAAGATCATTGCTCCTCCCGAGCGTAAGTACTCCGTATGGATCGGTGGCTCCATCCTGGCCTCACTGTCCACCTTCCAGGCCATGTGGATCACGGAGGGAGTACGACGAGTCCGGCAGCATTGTCCACCGCAAGTGCTTCTAAATACTCAAAGAAATGCGTCCTAATTTTCCTGATCACAAACATTTCTTATTCTCCTAAATACTTGTTCAAATTCAAAGAGGTTATGTTAAAAAATATTAATAAAGAAGTTAAAATGAATAGTGTTATTATAGTTTTTTTATACTTTGGATATATATATATATATATATATATATATATATATATATATATATATATATATATATATATATATATATATATATATATATACACTATGCTGGATTTGGGTGATGACAAAGGTGTGAATTGAGATGCAACACACCGTTTCAACATGAACGAACATAATTTGGCTTCAATTTTGCTACCACTGTTGTCGTTATGATATGTAAAGTG